TGACTCGACAGACAGCTTATCCGACGAGAACAAATACCTTCACCGTGTTTTTACGAAGAACAACTACAACAACGACTTCATCCGACGAAACACTCACCGACCCACTACCACTACCGAAACAAACGACACCGCAACCCCTACGACTACAGCAACCATACCGTACATAAAAGGCATGTCTGAAAACATCTCGCGCATCTTACTACCCTTCAATATCCGCGTCGCCCACAAACCCATCACCACACTACGTCAGTTACTAACCAACGTTAAAGACAAAGACGAACCGAGGAACAGACAGGGAACGATTTATAAGATCAATTGTTCCGACTGCCAAGCCTCCTACATCGGTGAGACTGGCAGAAACCTCACAACAAGACTGACTGAACACAGACGGGCGACGAGGAAAGGTGATGTCAGCAATCACATTGCTGAACACCATCGACTTACCAACCACAACATTGACTGGGACTCTGCGCAATGCCTAACCTACAGCACTGACTATTTTCAACGACTGACTCTGGAAAGCTGGTTTACTAACTTAGAACAGACCCCCCTAAACAGATGTCAACAACTACCCGCTCCATACAAACGACTCATTCACGACATAAACATCACAAACGACCGAAAAAGAACGACCTAACTTTACCGACAGATCGAAACAGACCAATCACGATCGACTTACATCACTTGAGACTTACGTCACTTGAGTCTTACAGCACGGCAAAACCAACCGATCATTTCACACGAACTGGAATAAGAACATTCTACTGACAACAATCATTCACTTGACTCTGATGATGACTTCCGCACAGGTTGTCGAAACGTCAGTCACTACTACCGACAACAGTCCTTCTCAGGACTACACTCACCCGGACGATCAGATTACACCTTCACATATATTATTTTACCACAATTGGCAGTAATGTTGCAATCTGATTGGTTAATTTGCCGTTTTCGGTAAGAGTACAGGCAACGCTGCTCGTGTCAAAATTTCACGCAACGTGTCACGCACTGAAAGAATCGTTTTATTTGACGTTGATATTGTGGTAAAGAACAAATCGACAGAGGTTTAGCCTGATCTGCACTCATATCGACAACGATTTTCGTCGTTACAGAGAATTGTGCGAGGCGCAGCCGAGTGAGTTCGCAACAATTTTTGACCACCGTGACGAATATCGTTGTCGATAAGAGTACAGACCACGCTAAACCATCGTCGATTTGTTAAGCAGAATTTTTGGTATGTGATATCGCTGTCTATTTCTACGAGTTAAAATACAAACAACGATTAAAAATTCTTAGCCATACTACACACCAAAACGTCTAATAAGTAATTTATGTTCTGACTGCTTTTTATTCCTGCTAAGTTTTTCTCCTCATTGCTCCTAAGGCGGGAAAAGCAAAGCGGATAGAGAAACACAGCGTGCAACCGACCGGTTAAACAATTTTTCGTAGGCCCGGTTGAGACGCCGTACATCAGCCGAGCCGAATCGAATTCAAGGAATTAAGTTCATGTGAAGTACGGCGTCTAAATCAATTCGGAACGGCTGATTTAATTTAGATCCGGCGGCTTGGTCAATTAATCCCGCTTGACTCAGCCGGGATTAAAATCAGCTGTAGACCGGCTTTGATTATGACGCCGTTACTTCACATGAGCCTAATCAAATGCACAAATTATTCTAATATACTTTTCTTGCCGTTTTTACATGTGAGCATCTGCAAAGGAGTGTTGTAGAAGAAATGGTGGCTTGAAGGGCCGAGCAAAACGCTGCTGACAGATATTGAAAGGGCGCCCTATTCTACACCTTTCGAACTGACACTGATTCTACGTTCTTTCGGTTCTTTGGGCATTATGTGGCTGTACTCTGCGTCAGCGTCAATAACGTCCTTTCCCGCCTCTTTTGTGAATCGCTCGCATAAAGCGACTCTTTTACCAGCATGATATTAAATCTTTGTTTTCTTCAAAAGTTGAACATTTATGGCATATTGGAATTTCACATTTCAAGCAAGTATATTTGGTCGCGCCGAAACCCAAACTGAAGGGCCGAGCAAAACGATGCTGACAGATATTGAAAGGGCGCCCTATTCTACACCTTTCGAACTGACACTGATTCTACGTTCTTTCGGTTCTTTGGGCATTATGTGGCT